GATGGATCTCCATAGAAACATAATTCATTACCTTGGCAGAGGAGGGGAACTTAAAATCAGGAACACAATAATATCTATGATCTGACTATTTATAAACAACTGTCTGCCCTAAAATTTTTGAAAAATAAAACAACAACCATGGACACAGCATCTCACTATAAAGACAATGCAAAGCTCAGGTTTCCTAAACTGTGGGAGGGATGTTTTCCTGCTGTCGCTGGCGTTTCCTCTTGAGTCAGCGCCTCAGGCCGCTATGTCTGTAAACAGCTGACTCTCCTTTTCATCTGTCTGGCTGTTTCATTTCCTTCATTCTGCTTTCACCACACTGTAACAGGCAAACTCACTTCATTATGTAGCCTACTTAATGGCTCATGTAAAAGTTGAAAGCCCCATTAAATTAAGATTTAAGGGTTGATGATCACTTAAAAGCGAAGTTGTGTCTTTATGTAAATAAATATGACAAAGTGATGGAGGAGTTTTTGGACTCCTTTTTCTTTAAAAAGCATAGATCAAACACAAACAGTTTTTTTAAGGCGAAACTATCTTCCCTTAAGTGCCTTCAACCTGACTTCAATAAATCAAATTACAAATGTATAAAAAATAATAATTGATACTAACAGCGTTATCAAATATTTGCGGTTTCATATTTTAAAAAGACTTAATAATTAACAGCTAAAGACAGCTCTTTACTGAATGAATTTTTTATCAAATGGTTACTCAAACAGGAGGGCAAATAGTGGCATTGTTGGCGCGGACTATTTTCAGCTGGCGGATTAATCCCACATCGTTAGCTCTAGTGAGTCATTGTGGCAGCAGGACGGTGCTGGCTGTGGGACTGAGGTTGCAACTACAGGCTGTGGGTGTGGTTCATGGTGCTGCTAGGAAACATGGTCCACCCAGCCTGCCCCGACAGGTGTGGCCTCATTGATGTGTTTTTAATTTCGTAACTTATATGTGCAGCTCTCTCTGTGCCACTCTTAGGTTGTGGATATGTATGTTATTTACATCAGGCTTTTGATGGACACTACGAGTCTTGTTTACTTCGATGTTTGTTGTTTGGTCTTTCAAACGTAACATTTGTTTATATTTCTCTTCCTCTCCTCTCTCTATTAGACATCTGAGATTCAATCCGTGCCGGGAGTCCTTGTACTCAGGTCCCACTGTGGGTCTGAAATGCTTCCAGGAAGAAGAATTCCTGAAGGAGTTTGCTTCGGGGTAGGCTCAGCTGCTGCCATCGAGCGCCGCACCGCCAACCCCCTCTGTCTGCGAATTCAGACGGACAGCTTCTGAGAGACAAGCTGCTATGCCCCGTTCCACACACACACACACAACACACAACACACACAACACACACATACACACACACACAAATGAACCAACACCTATAAAGGCAGCCATAAAACTGGTGGGCCCATTCCCATCGTTATGCTCTCCGTCTCTTCTCCGGCAGCAGACGAGGGAAATCAGCTGCCCAGTAGTGATGGGGGCCCGCAGTACAGTTCCTGAATACTGAACTGAGGAACCTACAGAAGTCATAAAACTTACTCTATAATGATTCTCAGCTCAATCCTTCTTGTTTCTTTGCTTTTTCTCCTTGAAGCAAGAAAGATGTCGTCGAGCCGGGAAGCATCAGCTCAACGGCTTAGAGTAAGACAGTGTGGCATGGAATTCTTTAATCTTGAAGTTTGTGGTTTAAAACCGCCTGATCGGTGAACTGACAATATCACCAAGGTTGTTAAGGATGGGGCCCAAATATTAAACCAACACAACTGTAACAGAAGATAGCTGCTGTGGTTTGCATATGCTTTTATGGGAGAAGCCTCACACATTGTTGCCTTGTGCCACCAAAAGTTATATAAAGCGTTTTTTAGTGCTGAGAGTTAGAAGGACTGACCATCCACCCAGATCACAGGGCCAGAAACTTTTTTAGTCCAACAAATAAATAGGGATAATGTGATTATCTTTTTGACCTACGAAACAACCTTTATGGCAGGAGTTCGTCAACTCCAACTCAGCTGCTGGCTATTGTCCTCTCATGAGTGAGGGGGCCACGTCAGTGTCAATTATTGCAAAGAAAATGGCAATATTTAAGTCATTTCTATTATAAACAGCCCAGGTTTCTTTCTACATTTCCGATTCATCTTTGCTTGGTTCACTACGCACACAACAACAAATGAAGGCCTTAAACCTGCTCTCATCTCAGCAACTGGTTGCACGCATTTGACCTTTGAAATTATTTTTATTTTATATTATTTTATTTTAATTGTGTAAAAAAGGGTAGTTTGAAAGAAAGAAAAAAAATTCAATAAATAATATTCTTGCTGGCCGGATTATTTTATATCTTAGACATCACATTGTGGGTTGGAAGGAGGGAGATGGGCTGACAGTTTGAGACACTTTCTTTATGGGGACGTTGTCTCTGGCTTTGGCTTTTTTTGGCTTGTAACCCCTTAAAACAAAGCAATGTCACTGCTTACATTACGTCTATAACTACGTCAACCAAGCAGTGATTTATTTACTATTTAATACAATTTTAAAGGTCAATTTAACTGTATAATAGTAGATGGCAAGAAAAGAGATCAAATTACAGGCATGTTTAGAAACAATGTGTTACATACATGTCCGACCTCCAAGAGTTGCTTTACATGGTCATGGTCCTCAGGTGATTATTTCTGCTGATTTTTGGTGACCATCAGATATAAAATTGTCTCTGTGACCGACACTGGAGGTTTCTAGAAAACTAGTGGAGATGAAAATGGACGCAGATATTCATTTGCTAACAAATTTTAATGTGTTTTACGTGACTGCCTGAACTTTCCTCTATAAATATGAGAAATATTTACAGTTTACTGATCACACTCCCCCACAGATGACTCCCTCACATTTTTGACACTCCATGAGTTATTTTCATATTGCACACACTCCAGTATTCCATCATCAGTTACTCATTTATATTATTTCTTCTTACAGCTATATTCATATTGTTGTTACAGCTTCTCTAACATTAGTATTTGCTGCTTTTCTCTGTTTTATTTTATTGTAAACTGAATATCTTTGTTTTTTTGCCATTTGGAAACATTACATTGCATTTTATAGATTACACAAATCTATTATTGTAAAAATCATTAGTTGCAGCCATGTACAATATATTTCAGACTTACTTAGAGCAAGACTGCCATGAAATTTGCTCATCCATGATTTTAATGACCCCAAAGCACCCTTAGAACTAAATTTGTGGTCCTAGTAACTGGTATTTAAATATCAGAATTGATGTGATCTTTTAAAGATAATTTTTTTATTACTGGTTTATTGAATCAGGTTGTTCTCTCGAAATCAGAATATCTGGCAGTGTTCCTGTTTAATGTATGAAGCCAACAAAAAACAACATTTACAGGAAAGAAAATGGTAGAAAAGTAAGAAAAAAAAAAGCAATGACTTAAAATTGCAGCATTTCTTAAAAAACAAAAAAAATGTATGTTGCAGTGTGAATGTCTCAGTCTCTTCTGTGACTTTATGCACACATTGTGTTTACATGTCTTGATAAAGAAACAGTTAAAAAAGTAGCTGATCACACACACATAAACACTTGATCAAGACTCCCTGAGCGTCAGCCCGGTAATGCTCTGAACACTCTCCTCCTCTTCCTCTCAGAGCTTGCTGCTGCAGATCGGAGAGGCGATGCTGGAGGAGGAGGCACGGGAGGCTGAGAAGGAGAAGATGATGTACATGGAGGAGAACTGCCCCGCCCTCTCCATCCCGGGCTGCATGCAGGAGCTCCAGGTAAACCTCCACCACCTGGCTGCAGAGGCCAGACACACTGACAAACATGGCTGGTGTTCATCTCAGCGGGTTTATAGAACAGTACAGCTGTTATCCACCATCAGTTCATGTTCTAAACTAAATGTTTATGCACTACTGTAATTGCCCGTAAGTAACATTTAAACAAACACATAATGATTTTTTTTTTTGCATTTAACAACAGCTCCCATGAGGCCTTGACTCTGGTGCCCTGCAGGAAAACAAAAATGTAAAAAACTGCAGGGGCCTTAGCAGGGGGGTGCCCAATTTTTTCCCCTTGAAGGGTCAAAACTAAAACTTAATGGTGGGCCACGGGCCAAAAGCAAACACCTTTTATACTGTATGTTAAGATGCAATGAAACTAAGATCCCAAATTTCCTGAACTGACTACCTAATTACTAATTAGGGATCCTACATATTTACAGAGCATTTTTACCCCAATAATAGTTTTTTGCTATAGAAACCTCTGGCGGGCCAAATTGAACCTTACATTGGGCTAACTTTGCCCCGCAGGCCACACTTTGGGCAGCCTTGTTTTAGCATCTTTCAGACAACTTTATTGTTTTAATGAACTGCTCACTGTTCTCTTCAAACTCATTTCTAGTCACAGCAGGCAGCAGTTGTCAGTGAATGAGCTCTGATAGACCCACTGTACACTACCTGTTCCAAATGACACATTTAGAGACCAGCTGCTGAACAAAGTGGAGCATTTATCAGCTGAAGAGCGAGATATTTCCCTCAGGAACAACCCTGTCTCTTAGAAATTATGTTTGAATATTACTAAATGGTTTTCATAATTACATTGTGGTTCCAGCCTGGATTATGCTCAGAGACAACTATTGTGAAACACTAAAATTATGTAACAGAGTGGTTGGCGGACGGCCAGGGTTCGTGTCCAGACTCCTGCAACAAAAGCACTATGGTTAAAGGTTAGGAAGGATTGTAATTCTGGTTAAATGTTAATAAAAACTCTTATGTCTCAAGTCACTACTGTCTTTTGAATAATGCTGTAGTCACAATGAGTGGGTAATAATGTAAGATTGACTTTCTTGGGCAAAAACAAACTGATATGTTCCAAGTTAATGATAAAATAATAAAGTAATTCACAAGAAAAAAGCAAAGATTAGAGGAACAAATGTGGAGCATATATATATATATATATATTCTCGCGACCCCATAAGAGAGAGAGAAAAAAAACGGGTAGTTGGAGGTGACAGAAAATTGGATCTTCTGCTTAGTACATTTGTGAATAAAGCTTCTGTTAAAGACTCATCCTTCACTTTCCTCTTTTCCTGTCTACTACAACACCAGGAGCTGTGCCGGAAAATTTACAAGCAGATTGATTTGGTGGACGAAGAGCGATACGACATGGAGATGAAAGTGACAAAGTCTAGCAAGGAGGTACGTCTTCGTCTTTGTCCAGTGGGTGGTATCTAGCAGTGAAGTTGCAGATTACAACTAACTGAACACTGCTTGCATCTGTATTTAACGACCTGGGAATGAGAGTGGGCTGTGAAGTGTGTAGGAGAAACTAACGGTGGCTGTAAAACTCTCAAAAGGCCCTATCTACAGCTGGTGTTTGGTTTATATTTCATTTCTGCCAATAGATCCTAAATGTTACACACTGAACCTTTAAAGGCTAACACCAGTGTAATTTAATTTCATTATGAACCCAGTGGTGTGTTCTTAAATTTAGGTTTGAACTCCCATTGAATTCAGTAATCAATTCAAAACAGCTCAGAGACAAACAGACTAATTTCCATCATGTCTCGGAGAACTTTTGTAATTTTAAAAATGTGGATGCATCTTCCAATGGCATTTAAACAGATCTGAGTAACTGTCTTCTCTGTCAGGTCGATGACCTGAAGTTGAAGGTTCAGGATCTGAAGGGGAAGTTTAAGAAGCCGGCCCTGAAGAAGGTGCGGATGTCGGCCGATGCCATGCTGTCCGCTCTGCTGGGCTCCAAACACAAAGTGGCCATGGACCTGAGAGCCAACCTGAAGCAGGTCAAGAAGGAGGTGAAAGAGGAGGTGAGTGCTTCAGATTTTACACAAGACTCTGAGGGATAATTACAGCACAATTACATTTAATTTTGATTCAACTGAATTCTGTGGTTTGATCTCTGAAAAACTCCAGCTCACTCATTTACATAAAAACAACAGGGAGCATTTCAGATTAAATAACAAGCAATTGAAACAACGGCGCAGACTGAAAATCATAGCTCTTTTAAGAGTCTTTTAACCATTTCCTCTCTGTCATTTAAACCTTTCTGCTGCTTTTCTTTCGTGTGTTTCTCAGGAGAAGCAAACAGGCGACTGGAGGAAGAACATCGAGGACAAGGCCGGGATGGGCGGCAGGAAGAAGATGTTCGAGACGGAAGCATGAACACCTGAGTGTTCTTCTGCTGTTGACAAGCATCTTTCATTTATGTGTATTATGTGAATCCACACTGTTGGAAAATTGTACAAATAATAGAATAAATAACTTATGTGGGGCTTCTGTGTGTTTCATGGTGATAAATTGTGAAATATGTGATGCTACAGACCATTTTCCATATGTAATGAGACAATAAGTCATGCAATTAAAAGTACAAAAATATTAGTTCAAATGGATGAAATACACAAATAAAACAGATATTTGAGAAGAAATGTATTTATTACTATTATTTCCTTACTTAAGTAATAGCAGTAGTGTTAACTGCTTGTTTCTGATCAAAACAATACACAAACGTGGGTTTACAGAGGAGATTTTAAAAATACATTTTGATTTCGTTCCTTATTTTTAGAGTTCAGGACAGAAACAACGGTAATACTGTGTATTTCTTGCATGCTTGTCAAATGCTGCTCTTTTGCTCTACGTAATTAAACTGTAATTGTGTTTGGGAATATGTATCACTAAAGACATAATCAACTGACATGATATTAAGGGCCTTAAAATGGGTTCTGCTTTATTACTCAATCTTAAGGGGCCTGTCCTAAAGTGGGTCTTTAACCAACAGCAGGTTGGTCAAAACATTTTTAGACCTTCATCATTTCAAACTACTAAACAAAGCAAAATCACAAAGGGGGTTAACGGGATCAAATTAATGTCGACCATGATAAGGAATGTAGAGAAAAGCTACTTAAAATGCGGAAAATAAAGGAATTTTTTGTTGTTTTATGCTTTGTTTTTAACTGATACAAAAACTGCCAAACAAACCAATAAGTTCATATTTTGCACAATATTTACACCCCAGCTCTGAACTGTGTTTACTTTGATATGAAAAGTAAAAGTAAAATTAGAAACATCTATTCATATTTTACTTCTTATAGACTTCAGCACAGGCCTCCACAAAGACATGTGTGTGTTGAGTGTGATATAAAGTTACATTGGTTTGTTCAGTCATATATCATATATATTTACTAAATATGACGATATGTCAACAAAAACCTACAGCATCACCACGACCCTTCAATCAAATTACCACAAAGTGACTGCAACACAGACAATCTAGGGCCAGTTGGCTGCTTTGTCCAGTTTTAAATCTGGCCCTGTGAGTGTGGGATTTGAACCTTTTGGAATTACATAGATACTAGAAATCCTCAATTATCATGTACATGAAATATAGCACTGTAAAACTGGTGTGGCTTATAACGGTAGGTCTCAAATAGAGGCTTTTTATGGATGTATGAAACCTTTTACAGCCCACCGGGTTGCCAGCTAGAGTGATCTCTAAGCTGCTTAGACATCAGTAGACCAGTTAGATTGTCCTCAATTGTTTATGGAAACCATGAGCACCAGCGTATCAAATGATCAAATGAATGATCGTGAATGATGTTATTCGATAGACTAATGTTTATAATTAACAATTTGAGCAAGAGTTTTGTGCAAAAGGAATTAAAGCCCTGTCTGATATAAAGGTCTGTCCCGTATAAAGGCAGGTTAAGTGCAGTGACTGTCGCAAAGAAAAGCCGGGGCTATTAATAGATAAGATTAGACTTTATTGATCCCACAATGGGGAAAATAACTCGTTACAGCAGCTCCAGATACAACAGAACACAATAGGCAAGAAAATACACATGAAATAAAAAATAACAAAATACAAGATATAATAAAAATAGAAAAAGTAGAATAATAGTTATATGCACACTAGAGTTTTTTTTATATATATACAGATGTGACTGATAAGGAACATTGCACAGGTCACAGCAGGAGGTAGTGTGGCATAGTGTAAAAAAGGACTAAATTCTAGTTTTACAATATATATTTTTACTAGCTCATGTAAAATAAACAAGAAATAAACACATGAACATACAATAATATATATATGTAAGACATTTTGTAAAATTTGTTTTTGTATGGAAGCGTGTTGCATTCACTTGAAAAATAAACAAAAAACTGATCAAATTTATTTTTTTGTTTGTTTTTTTGAATAATTTTTTCTGTTTTTCTGACAAATTTTTTTCCCCCCTGTTTTTCTGAGTAATTCTTTTCCTGTTTTACGGAGTAATTTTTTCTGTTTTACGGAGTAATTTTTTCTGTTTTTCGAAGTAATTTTTTTTTGAATTATCGAGATACTTCGACACATACATGCCCCATCTTCAACTATCTACCTGCGTAGAGTCGACAAACTAAT